AATATATCAAAATGACATTGACATTTCAAACCGGAAGTTGCTTATATCTCGAGTAATATTGGAATTAAACGTATCATGTTTGGACTCATTTTAAAGGATTTTTCACGACGATTACAAATATGTCAAAATTGACGTTGACATTCTTAACCGGAAGTTGACTATAACTTCATTAATATTGAAGATAACTATGTCGTGTTTGTACTCATTTTAAAGGATTTTTGATGAAGATTACAAATATGTCAAAATTGAGGTTGACATTATAAACCTGAAGTTAGTTATCATATAATAGACAAATGGACAACTTCATGGTGTTCTTGCATGATGTACTCTTTATTAAAACAACCTTTAAAATGAGTCTAAACAAGACGCACTTATCTCAAAAACCAAAGAAGTTTGAATAAAAAACATTAAACCCGAAGTTAGCAACACTGAAGATAGCAATTTAATTTTTAAATATTAATACCAACCTTAATTCTTTGTTTTTTTTTTATTATGTTTGTTTTTGTGAAAAATATGAAGACATTTTATAAAAATTAAGAATATCTCAAAATGACGTTGACATTTCAAACCGGAAGTTGCTTATATTTCGAGAAATATTGGAATTAAACGTATCATGTTTAGACTCATTTTAAAGGATTTTTCACGACGCAAACAAATATGTCAAAATTGACGTTGACATTCTTAACCGGAAGTTGTCCATAACTTCATTAATATTGGAGATAAATATGTCGTGTTTGTACTCATTTTAAAGGATTTTTAATGAAGATTACAAATATGTCAAAATTGAGGTTGACATTTTAAACCTGACGTTAGTTATCATATAATAAACAAATTAACTACTTCATGGTGTTCTTGCATGATGTATTCTTTATTAAAACAACCTTTAAAATGAGTCTAAACAAGACGCACTTATCACAAAGAACAAAAAAGTTTGACTAAAAAACGTTGAACCGGAAGTTAGCAACACTGTAGATAGCAATTTAATTTTTAAATATTAATACCAACCTTAATTTTTAATTTTTTTTTTATTATATTTTAGTTTTTAAGACATTTTATAAAAATTAACAATATGTCAAAATGACATTGACATTTAAAACCGGAAGTTGACCATAACTTCATTAATATTGGAGATAAATATGTCGTGTTTGTACTCATTTTAAAGGATTTTTGATGAAGATTACAAACATGTCAAAATTGAGGTTGACATTTTAAATCTGAAGTTAGTTATCATATACAGGGTGATTTATAACATCCGGAGAAGACTAAAAGGGTAAGTACTAGGAGCCAAATTGAAGATATTTTCTTAATAATGTATGTGGTGAAATAATCTAAGTAGTACGTCCATATCTTGATTCATACCATTTTTGGTATGTGGATTGGGTTACTTAGCAGCGGACAAGGATTTTAATTATTCTTAACTTATTCTTTACTACTTAACTTTTTAACAAAACATTATTAAGAAAATCTCTTCAGTTTTACCTCTAGTACCTACCCTCTTAGTCTGCTCCGTATGTTATAAATCACCCTGTATAATAGAAGTTTTATAACTGAAGTTAATCTAGTGTTAGTCACTTTTCCGCACTTTCTTTTTATTTTTAACGTGTTTTTTGGGTCATTTCACGTTGATTAATTATTTTATACGATGAATTGTTTTCTTCAAAAATTTCAACTTCAAAGTCTTATATTTTTAATTTCATTCCATTTTTTACGAGTTTCTAAACGTTTGATATTAAAAAAACCTAAACAAATTCCTTTTTTCGTATAATTTAAGCATAAATTAATTAATTTTCGTAAAAAAAACATGACGTTTCATAAAATTGACATTTAATTTTGACAAATTGTGAAGTTGGTTACAGTTGGTAACATTGAATTTGTGTCACATTGACGTTTANTATAACATCCGGAGAAGACTAAAAGGGTAAGTACTAGGAGCCAAATTGAAGATATTTTCTTAATAATGTATGTGGTGAAATAATCTAAGTAGTACGTCCATATCTTGATTCATACCATTTTTGGTATGTGGATTGGGTTACTTAGCAGCGGACAAGTATTTTAATTATTCTTTACTGACTTATTCTTTACTACTTAATTTTTTAACAAAACATTATTAAGAAAATCTCTTCAGTTTTACCTCTAGTCCTCTTAGTCTGCTCCGTATGTTATAAATCACCCTGTATAATAGAAGTTCTATAACTGAAGTTAATCTAGTTTTAGTCACTTTTCCGCACTTTCTTTTTATTTTTAACGTGTTTTTTTGGGTCATTTCACGTTGATTAATTATTTTATACGATGAATTATTTTCTTCAAAAATTTCAACTTCAAAGTCTTATATTTTTAATTTCATTCCATTTTTTACGAGTTTCTAAACGTTTGACATTAAAGAAACGTAAACAAATTCCTTTTTTCGTATAATTTAAGCATAAATTAATTAATTTTCGTAAAAAAAAACATGACGTTTCATAAAATTGACATTTAATTTTGACAAATTGTGAAGTTGGTTACAGTTGGTAACATTGAATTTGTGTCACATTGACGTTTAAACTTTATTCAAAAACTTATTTAAAAAAATAAATTATAATAATATACTAATTTTGATCAATTTTTGTTGTAATAGGAGAAGTAGTTTATTGCCTACTTCGGATTCATCAGCTGCAGCTCCACGTTTTGATGAACATTTATTATCCCCAGTTTTACCAACTGTTAGTTCAAGACCAAAATCGGTCCATATAAGCACAATTATTTCTGGTGATTCGAAGCCTCAATTAATTGGATTAAGAGATCCCGTTTTAAATAGAATTACCCTCCAATATTCTGATGACACCTTCTATCGAATTAAAATACCTTATTTATCCACATCAACTTTAGTCGAGAGTTGCTTAAACGCTTTAAGAGAATGTTTACCAAGGGATGTTTTAATGACGGTTATTGTGCGGTGGTACACAACGAGAAATTCTTTGGGAAATTTCGATTTAACGCCAGAGAAGGAGTGGGAGTTATTTTATAGCGTGATTTTCCGTAAGATTTATTTCTTAACTTAATTTTTTATTAAAAATTTTTATCTTTCGTTTTAGAACTCTTGGGTTATGAAGATTCGAATGTGAGTAATGGTTCGAGCGATAATTCAAGCACTCCAAGTTCAAGCTCGAAACGTTCGAGGCATTCATTCACCCCAAATAATTCAAACTGGGATTATTTATTAACAACGAATCACCACAAAAAAATTCATAACCATCTTTCGAAAATTTTGCATTTAAAACCATCTCAATCTGGATTTGATTCGAAACAAACCAATCCAAATTGTGGCATTCAAGTGAATACAAACTCGGTTTTATTCCCTTACATTAAAATAATTCATTTTACGCTTCATTTGTTGTACGAAGATTTAAAATTGAATACTTTACGTAAAAACGAATTAAAACATTTAGCACAATTTTTAAGCAAAATTTCGCACGATTTATGCTTAATTGAGTTTCAAGTACATTATTGGAAGGATTACCCCGATACTTGCAAAGTGAATTATGATGATAGGAAGATGTTAAATGAACAGGAATTAAAAGGAACTTTAACATGGTCTGGGATGAGTAACAAACCATCAGGGATATTCCAATTTCTTTATGAACTATTAAACACCAACAAATTAAGCGGATTCCCTTACATTAAAAACGTTAATTCTCGCACGAAAAACGTCATACAATTATTCGTTTTTTATATAAAATATTCCAAAAAAGATGTGGACCTAAACATCGAAAATTTAATAAACATTATATCGCCGTCCGGATTAAAACAAGAAATTATATCCGAACCAAAATTGTTATCAAACTGCTCCCATAACAATCTTTTTCGTGTAATTGAAATGATGACCCACCTTGGAATAACAAATCGTGAATTAGAAACTTACCCAAGCAGTATTTATCTCATTCTTTACGACACGATTTGGTTGTGCAGAGAGAACCCACCAAACGATTGGCCAACCGAATGTTACACTTTATTACAAAGACCCGATTTAACAGCATTAACTTTAATCACAAATAAAGAAAATAAAAGCGAAAGCATCCCGATTTTTTCACAAACCGAATCTGAAACTGACGATGGAATGGAAGACACCGATAATGCGTTATTAAAATTAAGATTTCCCAACGATTTGAGGGTTTTAGAGGTACGTCGGTTATTGTGTAGCTCAAAACCGGTTCCTGTTATTGTGACGCAAAGACCTGACGTTTCTGATCACGATTATATCGAAGAACAAGAAAGACATCTTTATGCTTTATGCTCAAGAACGATGGCTTTACCAGTTGGGAGGTAAAAATAATTTTAAACTTAATCTACAGGATGTATCAATTGTCTGGAATATGGCCAATACGTTTCTGTCATTACTAATTCTATTTGTAGCAAAGTTCATGTTCTGTTCTCAAACTTTTAACTAGTTCTATATAGCATAGTTTTCATTTATAAGAAACTTCCTAGAAATACTGTAATCAGAAATCTACTTGAAATATCATCCATTCCAGATAACGCCATAAGATTTCCAATGGAATATCTTTATTGAAAATTTTTTAGAGATCCTTTGAAAAACCTAATAGATAAATTGCTGATTTTGAGGGATTTATCTTCTATCAAAATATGCAAAAAAAACATATGCATTCCATTTAAAATAATAATATTGGTTGCCATAGCAACGAAACCAAAAACAATGCAAACAAACAAATATCGCCAAAAAATGCGCAACGATTAATAAAGAAACTTTTATTTGAAACATTTTTCTTAAAAACCACAAATGGCGAAGTTATTAGCTATATTCCATACATTTGACACACCCTGTATACAGGTGAGTTATTAGGATTAGTATCCCGGCGGCCGATAGTTACTAAACCATTTAAAAAACAAAAAAATATTTTATACAAAAGTTCTTTGACTCATCACTTTCTATTACGTAAAATTATTTTCACTTATACAGGTGTTCCATTTAAGCGTAACGCAGAGTACGTAAATTTATTTAAATGGAACACCTGTATATTTTATCATGTTAAGAATACAACTAAATTTGTTTATATAATCGTATAGGTTACTATTTTACAGCGCTCATAGTTCCTGAGATATTTAATAGACAACTTAAGTCTTGACGTCATAGAGATGGGCGGAGCTTATACCGACTCCAAACGTTTTCGTTGCTAACAGTAAATCACCATATGCAATTTTTCATTAGTGTTAAAATAAAATAAACTAAGTGATGACATTTCAAATGACATTTTTTGGCGATTTATCGTTAGCAACGAAATTGTTTAGAGTATAAGCCCATCCTTGTAACGTCAGACTTAGGCAGTCTATTGTTCTTCCAACATACCTGTTACAGGATCTTTTTGAAAACGATGTAAAAACGAAAAAGCAATAGTCAAAATCAGTAGATAGATGATAGTATTCAAAGATATTAGATACACTATACAGGTGTTTATAAATCTTAGTTACTTTTGATGAAATGGCTTTTTCTTAAGTTTTTTAAATAGAACACTCTGTATATTGTATGCTAGTTGAATTGCTCATCAAATTCCCTTTAATTAATGATAAGTACGTCATATGTCTAAGTTTAATAGTTTTCCTGATATTTAAAATTTAAAGAAAAATGTGTACTAAAATGTCATTATTGTAGTTAAAAAAGTGACAGAATGACCATTTTTTTTTTTTGATTTTTCTTTTTTGTTTGTCTATCATTTGTAAATCAGTAATATTATATTAAAATACATGTGCTCCATTTAAAAAACCTATGAAAAAGGCATTTTAAAAATATCAAAAGTAACTAAGTTTTATGAATACGCTGTATAGCACATCTAATATATTTGAATACTATCATTTGCCTTCTAGCTTTGACTATTAGTAACATATACGGTTGTATAAACAAATTTAATTCTATTCATAATATGATAAAATATACAGGATGTTCCATTTAAAAAAAATCTACATATTCTCCGTTACGCCTAAATGGAACAACCCTGTATAAGTGAAAATAATTTTACGTAATAGAAAGTGGTGAGTCAAACTACTTTTGTATAAAGCATTTTTTTCTTTTTCAAACGGTTTAGCAATTATCGTCCGTCGGGATACTAATAACTCACCCTGCATATACAGGGTGTATCTGAATGACTTTCCCAAACTTCAGGGGTGATTCTTTAGCAAATTTTAAGGGTACTTTCTTATATGAACTATGAGCGAGTTCGACTCCCGTGGGGAGCTACGCCCTTTCAAAAATGGCGGAAAATTTTGGTTTAATTTTTTTCTCGAGAACTATAAAAACCAGAAAAATGAAACTAGAATCATTCGAGTTTAACCGTCTTAAGAGACGTGCAGCTAAAACCCGAATGTTTCTAGTGTACTATTAATGTATATTCTAGGTACACCCTGTATATAGACCGAGAAGTAGAAACATTCGGGTTTAGCCACACGTCTCCCAAGACGGCTAAGCCCGAATGATTCTAGTTTTACGTCATGTGTTAGTTCCAGTGATAGTGCTTGTGTAAAACTAGACCTAGTACTAGAAAGTATCCGGTTTAGGCGTGCATCTTAAGATCTTTAAAATGAGTACAAACACGACATATTTATCTCCAACATAAATGAAGTTATGGTCAACTTCCGGTTAAGAATGTCAACGTCAATTTTGACATATTTGTAATCGTCGTGAGAAATCCTTTAAAATGAGTCCAAACATGATACGTTTAATTCCAATATTACTCGAGATATAAGCAACTTCCGGTTTGAAATGTCAATGTCATTTTGACATATTCTTAATTTTTATAAAATGTCAAAATTAGTCAGAAGAACAAAAATATATTAAAAAAATCAGAAATTAAGGTTGGTATTAATATTTAAAAATTAAATTGTTGCTAACTTCGGGTTTAATGTTTTTTTATTCTAACTTTTTTGT